TAAATAACACGCACCCACACATACACACATATATATATATATATATATATATATATATATATATATATATATATATATATATAACAAATCAAATACAAAATACACAAAAAGATATATATGGTTTTAAAGGAATATATTTAAAGATATATAAAGACGTACATATATATATATATATATATATATATATATATATATATATATATATATATATATATATGTGTATATATATATATATATATATATATATATATATATATATATATATATATATATATATATATATATATATATATATATATATATATATATATATATATATTTGTATGTATGTATGAAATGAGGATTGTCTTGTATTCTAATTGGTGGTAAATCCTATTGAGAAACAGTGGAATTCAATCCGCGTTTAGCCATATTGTTTTCTGTACGAAAAACAATTAATAATGACGCTTTACAAGGCTCATCTTGTAAGAGGCACCAAGGGGTATTGCTTTTCCTATATCTTCAAACAAGCCTCGGAGGCTGTATTGTTATATATATTTTCTGTTTTTTTTTTTTTTTTTTTTTTGGTCTCATCGACATATTTGTGTAAGTGGCCGTATGCTTATAAATCTGTGTATGCGTGGAAGGGTGTGGTTTCTGTCTCTACATCTCTGTGAGCGAATGGTACGGAATCTTGAGTTTGTAGTTGGTGACAGATGAGGTGTAGGGGCACCATTATTAGAATTTGATGTGATTTGCGAATCTACTGTGCCTGGTTCTTTAATAAATACAGATTTTGTTGTTGTTAGTCTTATTGTTTGTTTGTTATTGTTTTATTTTATTTATTTATTTATTTTTTAGCTTTGTTTTGGTTTTTCATTCTTTTCCTCTTTCTTTCCTCTCTTCCTCGATGTCTCTATTTCTGTCCTATCTTCCTCCCTATGTCTCTCTTTCTCTCCTCTTTTCCTCCCTATGTCTCTCTTTCTCTCCTTTGTTCCTCCCTATGTCTCTCTTTCTCTCCTCCTTTCCTCACTATGTCTCTCTTTCTCTCCTCTTTTCCTCCCTATCCTCCCCTGTCTCTCTTTCTTTTCCTCCCCATGTTTCTCTTTCTCTCCTTTTCTTTTCTCTTTTCTCCCTATGTCTCTCTTTCTCTCCTCTTTTCCTCCCTATGTCTCTCTTTCTCTCCTCTTTTCCTCACTATGTCTCTCTTTCTCTCCTCTTTTCCTCCCTATGTCTCTCTTTCTTCTCCTCCCTATTTCCTTTCTCTCCCTTTCCTCTATTTTCTTTCTCTCCTCTTTTCCCTCACTCTTTTATGTCTCTCTCCTCTTTTCCTCTCTCTTTTTTCCTCCCTATGTCTCTCTTTCTCTCTCTCCTCCCCTATTTCCTCACTCCCTCTTTTCCTCCCTATGTCTCTCTTTCTCTCCTCTTTTCCTCCCTATGTCTCTCTTTCTCTCCTCTTTTCCTCACTATGTCTGTCTTTTCTCTATGTTTCTCTCCTCTTTTCCTCAATATGTCTCTCTTTCTCTCCTCTTTTCCTCACTATATCTCTCTTTCTCTCCTCTTTTCCTCCCTATGTCTCTCTTTCTCTCCTCTTTTCTCACTATGTCTCTCTTTCTCTCCTCTTTCCTCACTATGTCTCTCTTTCTCTCCTTTTTCCTCACTATGTCTCTCTTTTTCTCCTCTTTTCCTCCCCTATGTCTCTTTCTCTCCTCTTTTCCTCACTATGTCTCTCTTTCTCTCCTCTTTTCCTCCCTATGTCTCTCTTTCTCTCCTCTTTTCCTCACTATGTCTTTCTCTCCTCTTTTCTCCTATGTCTTTTTCCTCCCCTATGTCTCTCTTTCTCTCCTCTTTTCCTCCCTATGTCTCTCTTTCTTTTCTTTTCTCCCTCTTTTCCTCCCCTATGTCTCTCTTTCTCTCCTCTTTTCCTCCCTATGTCTCTCTCCTCTTTTCTCCTCTTTTCCTCCCTATGTCTCTCTTTCTCTCCTCTTTTCCTCACTATGTCTCTCTTTCTCTCCTCTTTTCCTCCCTATGTCTCTCTTTCTCTCCTCTTTTCCTCACTATGTCTCTCTTTCTCTCCTCTTTTCCTCCCTATGTCTCTCTTTCTCTCCTCTTTTCCTCACTATGTCTCTCTTTCTTTTCCTCTCCTCTCTCTTTTCTCCTCCTTTTCTCCCTATGTCTCTCTTTCTCTCCTCTTTTCCTCCCCATGTCTCTCTTTCTTTCTTAATTTGTTTGTTCCCTTCCTCCTGCCCTCTATTTTATTCTTTCCTTCTTTCTCAATTTTTCTTATCTATCCACCCACTCTCTCCCTCCCTCTTTATCCATTTCTGTCGTTTCTTTTTCTATCTTTCTTTTCACTCTCCACCTATTCTCTCTCCTTTTCCCCTTTCTTTAATTTTTTTCCTGTCCTCTCCATCCTCTCTCCCCTCCCCTTCTCTCTTCCTCACTTTCTTTTCTTTTTCTTTTCTCTCTCCACCGTCTCCTTCTTTCTCTCTGTCTCTCTATATTTTTCTCTTCCCAACCTCTCACCTTGCTACTGTTCTGTGTATTTTTATTTTCTTTCCACCTTTTCTCTATTCTTCCCGCTTTCGCTTTATCCATCCTCTCTCTTTCTCTCTCTCTTTCTGTTCTCTTTCTCTCTACCCTTTCTTTTTCTATTTTCTCCTCTCTCTCTCTCTATTCTTCTGTCTGCAACCCCTCTCTCTTTACCCATCTTTCTCTTTTGTTTACCCTCTTTCTCTTCTCTCTGCACCCCTTCGTTCTGTTTTTCTCTCTTCCTTTCTTTTTCTCTGATTATCTTCTTTTCTTCGTTCTACTACTAGAGAATACTACTTCTTAAAATATTTCCTTTTCGTTTGTAAACGCATCTTCTATCACCATTGTCATATTAATTTAATTTATTCCGTTGCTTCTTTTTAAGTTTCACTTCATAACGCGCATCGGATTAACGAAAAATGCCTTTCAAAAGCTATATAAACTACTTAGAAACAGAAAAATCTCGTTAGAAACAAAGGAGAGACTTTTGAGTTGCTATGTCATACCAATCCTCTTGTATGACAGTGAATGCTAGGCAATCTCACTAAAAATGAAAAGGAAAATGGTGGCAACATAAATGTGATTCTACAGAAGGATATTGAGAATTCTACAAACGGAATGAGTAAGTAATATGAGTAATATAATAACAAAAAGAACACTTATACTTAGAATCAGAAAAAGACATTGATTAATTCGTTTTCTATGGTTTATCAACTTTTATAGGTTATTTAAAGCAAACAATGTTTTGGATTGTAAAGATTATTTCTATGGAGATGATAATGATTTAGTGATACAATTTTTACTAATTAACCCATAGCTGGGGAGAAGAGGTGAATTCTTACCTTTCCAGTGATATTTGCGCCAGGGTGAATGTACTGAAGCTAACTGGATTAGAAACTCAGATCTCAGATTAACAATTCCGAGCCATTATCCATTAAACCATCCGAACAACCACGCTTACAGCACTTGGCATCCCCAAGTGGTCACCCATCTAGGTGCTGACCAGGCTCGACGTTGCTTAACTTCGGTTATCTTACGGGATTTCAACGTGATATGACCGTAAGCCCAGGAAGAGACAGCTGAAATATTTGGACAGATAAGGAAGGAAGGAGGGCTTGGAAAACTTAATTCTCACAGGTCATATCGAGGGCACGAGAGATGGATGTAGGCAGCGCGCCATCTACCTAACATGTTTGTGCGAATGTATGGTGGAAAGAGGGCGGGAAATAAAAGGAAAGTAAAAATAAAAGGAAAGTAAAAAGTAAAAGTAAAGGAGAAATGCTTGTCAGAGCCACGAGTGATAGAATGTTTTGGAGAGACATGATCCCCACATCCTGAAGTGACACGCCATATAGAAAAAAGTTAAAGCATTTATCTTCATTATTTGTTCTGTGCCTAATATATCTTCTTGTTTGGTTATTCTAATCTATTTCCATGTTTCTTTCCCATTGTTTTTAATTATATTGCAATTTTATTTCATACGTTAAATATTAAATACACATATGTTTATATTTAATATGTATGGTAATGGCAACATTATCCGGTTCCGTATAAGGAAACATTTGACATTCATTGACCGAGAAGCCATTACTACTTTCGTTTGAAATTTATAAAATCTTTCTCTTAAAACATTTGTTTTAGAAAAACAAATCCCTCAAGTCCAGCCGCTGTTATCGCTCTTTTCCGTATTGATAGCGGTATCCTTCTTAACCTTTTGTTTAAATTAGTGTGAAATGTTAACATCCTGATTATGTCATAGCAAAAGTGTGCTGGCAGTCCTCGGCAAAGCTGCAAAGTTTTGCCAAAAGACCTGCTGCCCGAGACGTGTTGAATCTACTGGCCCAGCTGTTGTGAATGCGACGCATCCTCACAAAGGGTCATAACATTGCCGATTAAAAAAACTCACGAAAGAATGTCTATTAACGCATGCGCAACAATCTCCCATCTGATATATTGCCAAGGGACCACAAGAGCCCGTAAACGATTACCCAGATATTCAAAATGGCGAAACAGTCTGTAAGAAATTCAGCTTAGTTTACCTCTTAGATATCGTAGGTGTCTAGTCGATTAAACTCAAAGGCTCTATCAATAGGTTGAGATTCTAACTTCATCTTGTCTTGCCAAGATCAACAACTGCGCTAAGGCTGGAATAAGATCAAAATATTGATTGGTTTGTTTTTTACAACTGATCAACTTTGAGACAGTTCGACTTTGAGTCAGAAAATATTTATAGATTGTAAATTTTTTTTTTGAGATAATAATGATTTACACATACAAGTTTTACTAATTAACCCATTGCTGGAGGAGAATATGTGGATTCAAACATTTCCAAGATTTCTTTCTGCCTAAATGAATAAAACGAACCCGACTGGAATTGGAACTCGATTCTCCGATTTCCAACACCGAGACATTATTCATTACACCACCCGCACATCGAAGCCGATTAGCAATTACGAGCCATTATCCATTACACTATCAGCATATCCAAG